CAACCAGCAGTTCTGTTTTCCCTGCAAAATCCAGGCAGCTCAATTTTGGCAGTTATTACCATGGAAACCAGAGTAGAACAAGTGCAGTGAAAATAATGTGGATTGAAAGTTCTTCCTACTCCAAAGAAAAAATGAAAATTTATGGGTTGGCACAAAGCCATTGGTACACTGGTAAGAAGCTAACATGGTTTTGAGCCTCAAGGTGCTGGTGTTCCAACTATCTGATTGACAGAAAAATCCTATAAGAAGCATGAGGCAAATGAAATATTCTACACAAGAGGCAAATGAAATATTCTACACAAAGTTTGTTCTAGGAATTGTGTACATGTCTCTGATGAGACAAGTTCTCAGGATATAGACCTGAGGTAGAATCACGTCCATGATGGGAATGTGGGATCAGTTTTGGGCACAGCCTTGGCACCCCATCCTTCATCCTATGAGTGGACTATGTCATAGTTAAAAAATAAATATCTAAAACTAATACAGTATCATTTCTCAAATAGACCAAGGAAAATGGAAAACAAAATAATTCAGCTTTTCATAATATCTGAAAAGATGACATTGATATTGAACAGGGACTTGGTATGGACCACAGGAAGCCAGTCATTGGCCTTGAGTCCACAATCCAAGGTCAGTGGTTCTAAGTGGTAAAGCCAAGGAACGGGAACCCACCTAACGTGTGCTTCAGTCTGTCCTTATCAAGACAGGACAATGGCTGGTATTTCTAATCCTTATCTTACTTGCTTCTGAAATGAAGCAGAGTCTCTTAAGATAGAAAGAAAGGAGAGTCAATCCTACCAGCCAGAGTTAGGAAAGTGTGAGTTGTTTTGTGAAACGGTCATTCCTTGCACATCACATAGGCACCCTGAGAGCCTTGTTCAGCACCGTCTTGGGAAAGCAAAGGCCAAGGCCAGAAGACACAGCTTCTATGGTCCCGGTCCATGCGCTTTCCTGGCCCTCTCGCTAATGAATCTGTAAGTACCATGGCTGGAGAGACCCAGGCAGGAGGCAAGGAGCCAATGTCATTCACCGCACCCACATACCTGGAGTTCTGCCATTATTTTTTCTCCTTCTTCTTCTTCTTCCTCCTCATCCTTTGAGGAGGAGGTAGTGACAGGGGGTGGGGA